CTTGCTACAAAACCTCGCCTTAGACTTCAAATGTATTTCCTTATATGCTAACTTTAAAAAAGTAGAGCAGGAGAAGGCAGGCAGCAGTTGTAGCAACGAGACAGAGTGCCAAAGAAGTTAAAGATCTTTTGTTGCCCTGAAAAGTGACCTGCTCTTTGCTTTGCTGTAAAGGGTTCTGCAGTGTTTGAATCTCCATGTCATGTTACAAGATGTATCCCTGAGGTCCTCCAGCTTTCACTTTTCAGAATTGCAACCTTTAGTCTGTCCTCCAGAAAGCTCAGAGAGCATGTTGAGAGGGGACTGCCACCACTCTGTTGCAAATCACGCACGAGTATCATGAGCAAGTGCAGGAATTGAGGGAAAGTTTTGTCTCTAAGCATCAGAAAATATTTTTTTTAATCCTGCTACTGTAATGCTGGCATCACAAGGAAATCACTATGAAAACATAAAATTACAGCTCAATGTAGATATTTATATAATTTCTCACAATTAAAAGTCTAATAGTAGAATTAAGTTGCATCTGAGTAAAACACAGGTACTCATTGCATTGCTGTCTCCAGTGATTTAGAAACAGAATTCTCTATTGACCCAGATGTATCATTTTTATAGTCATTAGACTAATTCACCAAATACAAAGCAATTATCAGCAAAATAGGAACTACGCAGCCATAATTAGTACCCGGGGGGTGGGGTATCTTAATTAACTATAGAAAGTTGCTAATGATGTGGCCTGAGATGAATGATGAGCCAGTGATGGGTTCTGAGATAGTCTGCAATCTTGTGAGACTATCTATGTCAAGGAGGGATGCTGTAATCCTCTTTGCTACCCAGTCAACATCCACTGGCCCCAGGAAGTCATTCAGCCCTGCTCTGTGCTCTGAGGATGGATAATCTGCACTACGGAAATGCCAGCGTCTCCATTTTGTGCATATTGGTATTGTGAATTAAAGAAGATAAAGATTCCAACATTCAAGTTAAATCAAGTGTATCTTTTGGTGTGAAAACTTCCATCTCTGCGCAGTGTAGTAAGTTGAGTGTGCAGCCAGACTTACCTAATTTGATGTGACTGACAACATTTCATTATGAAATTTGTGGAGTCCTTTTTGTGACAAAGCCTAAAGTAGTTTGTTCTGTAGGCAAGACTGGGTAGACCTAAGGGGGAGTCTAAGGAGACTAACTAGGTAAGTCTAGTTATTAAGTTGGTCTAGAGACTAGCTTAGGTAAGTGCTAGGCTTGTGGTAGGAGTAGATGAGATGCTGCCAGCTGTTAAATATTTAATAATTATGCAAATTACATAACCATGCATTTTAATAGCAAAAGATAGGTTAAAGAAACTGCATCTACACTGCCAACAGAACTGCAGCTCTTCAGTAGTTGTTGTTCTGAGCAGGACAAACTGTTTACTGATGGCTTGTGTGGGCAGTTGTAGGATTGAGAAACCCTTCCTGTTGAGATAAGCTGCACTGTGCTGCCCGTGCCACGTCCGAGGGCAGCTGTGCAGCCCCGCTTGCACAATGCCCTGCTTGTGGAGCTGTTGTTTGACTTGCTGCCTGGTTGCATCATTTTTGTCTCCTGGGTTTGGGGAGAAGTTGGCTGCCAATGAGAGTTTAATCTGGGCTTTCCCTGTGCCTGTTGCAAGGAGAACAGGGTGTGAGATGGGGACAACAGGCAGGTGGTGGTGCACAGAAGAGAGACATGACCTCTTTGGGGAGGCCAGCTGTCCCCAAACCCACCCAGGCTCTGTTACTCATCTGCTTGGTAAACTGCCTAGTGTTGTAAAGCTTGAATTTTAAGGCTAGATTATAAATACCACAGCTCTTGTCCAAGTAGTAAAAGGATGAGTAAAACACAATTTGGCAATTTTTTTGCCTTGACAATTGCAATGGCATTTGAAGCTGATGTGCTATGATTGCACTAGTCAGAGTGTTTATGGGATGTTCTGCTTCATGGTGCAAGTGGTCTAGTGTATGAGCAGAAACATGACAGCTTTAGTTTTTGAATTGGCTTTCTGTCTGAAAGTTTGCTCCTTTTCTGTTTTGACAGTGGAAAACTCTTTTCTTTACCACTCTCAAATAATACCATAAATAATGAATTGTCTATGCAAATACACTTTGGGTACTTCTGGACAACTTGAGCTACGTTTTCAGTTACCTAGGACTTGTATTCTAAACACTCATGAAACCCACTTCTTGCAGCCCTTTCCTTCTGCCCCATTCCTTCAGGGAGAGGGAGAGACAGTAAACATAGAGGATTTTGCTTACAACTCTGCCATGGAGTATCTGCTGCTTTGAGTTACTGTAGCAATGCTCTGCACCCAGCTTCCAGCCTTCCTTCAACTTGTATCACTTCTCCTTTTGGTCTCAGTGGATATTTATTTTCCTAAAACTCGAATACCGTGGATATGTTGAATTTACCATGTGGAGGATGCTACAAGGATTATCTTAGCAAATTACAAAAATATGTGGCTGCATTCCAGTTGTGAGGATATGTTAGAGCTGAGCATCTTTGAGGTGTACACCCTTGAGTAATCAGCTAATCAAGCCTTTGCTGCTGGTGTCAGACTCCTGGTGCTGCAGAGGCTGAAGTGTGCCCGTGGTGGCTGCACATGCAGACAGCCTTGTCCTCCCTGCTGTGCTCAGAGATGGAGTTGGCACATCGGCAGGTCCCTTGGCCTCAGGGACCTTGTGTTTGTGTTGCAATCCTTGCTGAAAGCCTTGCCTGATCTTTCTGGAGCAAAAGCAGATAGGAGCTGAAGTGTCAACTTGATTCTTCGCTCTATCCATGAGCATAGGTCAAAGACCTGGAATAAAACCAGTGGGACAAAGTTCAAGCCAAGCTGTTGGTCACAGGTTTCTGCCTGCTGCTTGCCCATGGGCAGCAGGGTGTTAATGCCTCAGGGTTTAGATTTCTCATGTCCATGGAAGCCTTGGTTTAGTGGGATAGAGATGCCTGCACTTCCCTGAGGGGGTGGGTGCTGAATCCCAGATGGGAGAGTTTCCCTGTGCCTCATGGAAGAAAGCAGGCTTGCTCTTGCAGTCACGAACACATCATTACTGGAAGGCTTGTTATAAAGCTTGGAGGAATTTAGGAGGAGAGTGTTGGAACACTGGTTTTATCTGTTTCCTCTTCTTTCACTGTTAGGAGAAAAGCAGTAATTAATACAGCTGGGTGTGAAATGCAGCATTTTCTGTTGGCTCTGAGTTGTTTCTGATATTCAGTTCCCAGGCTTAGCACAGACAGACGGCAGCAGTCAAGATGTCTTTCAGTTAGTTCAGAATCCTTCTTAGGAGGAAAAAAGTTACAATCTTTACTGAACTTAGCTCTCTTACCTTGAAGATCTAACAGCCTAATAATATTGGGGTAGTTAACCTTTTTTTTTAATGGAGTGCTTAATGTGCTGGTATTGGCAAAGAATCTGGGAGCATGAACTCTGGGTAGCAACTTCATAAGTTTATAGCTAAAGGAGAAATAGCTTGAAAGTTTGCTCACTTTCCAAATGGTATCCAAAATACACAGTTTCAGAAAGTTCCTGGGAGGCATAGTTTCAATCCTTAATCTGACTTTATTAGGATGATTTGGGGGTGGGGTGCATGTGCCTTGCTGGAGCAGCATTTAAAGTGAAATGTCAAGTCATGCATTGTGGGCATGACACCTTCATGCTTGAAGATAAGACCAGGAAATGGTATCTTAAGAACTTGATTTTAGAAAAAGCAACTTGGTAAAATCTTGGTGATGGTTGGTCTTTGGAAGTTTTTTTGGCATTGTTTTTTGAATAAATTGTCATGATTGATAGGAGACAGCAAAGGGGTAAGCGTGGCAGAGAGTGAAATGGGAGACTATTTTTTAATATCTCCTGAAGGAATGCTTAGGAAAGAACATTTTCTGAGTTCTGGAAGTAGGCAGTTTTTTACCCAAAGCAATTTATTCTTATAAACAATGATACTGTATATTTCCACCACAATACTTAAGAGGTCATTGAGAGGTTTCCACTGAGTCGGGTGATTTTCAGTCAAAATTTTAACTTGAGGTTGTATTTTATTTGTGCTTCTTGAGGATGAAAAGAGTATAAAGGAGCATGAAGAATGTGCTCGTGTCCAAAAGCAGCTAATGCACTTGGCAATCTTTGTAAGAGGGTATTTGTCCAGTGAACATAATGTAATAGGATCTGAGAGATTCCCAAATGTAGATGATGTGCTGTAATGGAAATTGTGTTAAGGCTTCAGTAGTGCTTTGAGAAGTCCTCAGTTGCAGAGCTGTAAAGGTGCTTTTTATGGTTGATGTATGTGATTCACCATCTTATAAAATATTTCAAAACTAAACGAGTTCTCATTTTTTGGTCTGCTACTAAGTTCAGTGCTTTGCATTACTCTTTAAGTGAAATGGGGAATGTTGTCTTCTAAAGTAGCTGTTAAATTGCTCTAAAGAAAAATCCAATTATGCCACTTCAGTCACTGCTTAAAATGCATCATGCACTGGCCTGTTGTGATGTGGCAGTAGGAGGATTAATAGGAGAGTATATTGGTCTCAAGAATTTTGAGATCATCCTTTTGTCATGGGAAGTCTGTCCAGTCTCCTAGTAAAACCAAATTTGGCTAATTCTATCCAAGTTTTCTCTGATTACTGAAAATTATTTTGAATTTTACTTGCTTCTTGACAGAAAAATGTTCCAAGTATATCAGTTTGTTAAATTTAGTTCTATGAGGATTGTGCACTGCTGCTTTTAGATTTGTTTCAAACTGGAGGAGCCATTTAAATTATGCCCTGTTAAAACAAAAGCAGAACACATGCAGAGTAGCTTTTGCACTGCTTTTTATATGTTCAGGAGACCCAGTTACTAGAAATAGACACTTAAATTAAAAATAGGCCAGTTGTCATGTATAGATAGTTTAAATGAACCACATGGAGCTCATATTGGATAGATAGAAAATTGGTGTATTGTGAAGTGATAACAACCAGAAGATTTTGTTTCATTCTGGATTTTTCTTTCCTTTGCTTTACAGGAAAATCTTCACTGACGATCCAGTTTGTGGAAGGACAGTTTGTTGATTCATATGATCCAACCATAGAGAACAGTAAGTAAATTACTGCCAAGCTCCTCTTCTGTACCAAACAAGCTTGATTGTGCTTATTTCTCCAAACAGATGAACTTTTAGCATTAAATGAAGACACACCTAATGAATCTGGCCAAAATGCACCTCCTTGTATTTTATGTGTGTTGTTGAGCATCTGCTTCCCCTAATGTACTTGTGGCACTTTAAATTCCTTACATCACCCTGTATGAAAATGTGCCACCAAATACAAGTATCCTAGAGTCTCACATAAGGTCAGTATATCCAGATGAACAGGAAGTCAGCAATACCCATCAGGATTAAACCACTTAGAAGGTAGGCTATGTGGCTATGATAGCATGATCATCTTTTCAATTACTCCTTTCCAGCAGCTGGATAACAAGGCTGCTACACAATCAGCTTGCTGCAAATAATGAGTATTTGACTTCTCAAGTGTTTTTTTTTCCTCTTAGCAGTTCTTTTAAAAATAATTTTAGCACCTTTGTAAGTAGCTGGTATAGCAGGTGAGTAAAGACACTAATGTTAAAAATGCTGCCAAGAGGAAAAAGTCATTTCAGAGGTTACCTGGCATTCATTACAATCCAGCCACCTCTTTCTGAGCTAGCAGTGGCCATAAAGTACTTGAACAACTGCAGTGCTGGGCTGAGTAACTTGATCATGTTGGCTTACTTTAGTCATGTGGCAAATAAAAGTGGTTTCATGATCGTAGCCCTGGGGTTCTTGTATTTTAATGACTTCTGCAGTGGTGTAGCACATGTTCTTAGTGTTTTCAACTTCTGCAATAGGATGTTAAGCCTATGTAATGCTCCTGAAGTTTGAATGAAGCAATCAGCAAAACAAGGGTTTTTTTTTTTAATATATATATATATATGGTATATAATTGCAATTCAGTAGCTATCAGGATGTTTTACTTGGGACTTTTTTTTTATTGCTCAGAACTAAAATTCAAATCCTACTTTTTGAGAAACTCTAAATTTGCTTTAGCAAGTCAGAGTGGATAATTTGGCCCTTGGTCTTAATGTTAACTCTTATACAGATACTAATACTAATATGTTCCATCATCCTTTTTTACTTTGTTTGAATTATAAGTCAGGTATGTCTTGAATTAAAGCTACTAGTAAAATACCAGGGTTTAAGTTTCTTAATAATCTTAATTCAGTTGGGTCAGGTTATTTTTCACTGTCTGTGCCATATAAATGCAAATTATTTAAAGTAATCTTTTAGTTTTATGCAGCTGCACGTGAATGAATAAGGACTGAGAGACACGGAGTCAGAGTCTCTACAAAATACTGAATCTGTGTCTTGTTTTAGGATTTTGACACATTGGTACAAGATTTGTTTCATCCTTTTCCTGTTGTCTGTAGCTGCTGTTTGTAACTCTGTAGTTGTGTGTCTCACAACTTCAGCATTTCTGAAGTATACAAAAATATACTGTAGATGAATTTTGCTCTTATTTGACTCTCTTAGTCCGCACTGTATGCTTGATCTGAGTTCTAAGCATTGAGCATGTCCTGGCCATGAAGACTTGTTGGGAGAGGGCATCTTGAAAAGCCTTAACTTTTCACTTGGTTTCTTTCTTGTTTGGAAAATAAATTTTATTCATTTGGTGTAAGTCTTGTGATCCTGTGGCATGGCTGGAGGAATTTGCTTTCTGAAAGGTACAGAATTGAAGGGTCCTTCTGACATCAGAAAACATTACTGGGAAGTAAAGGTTGAAAAGATAAAAGTTTGGCCCTGGGGCTCAAAACAGTGGGAAATCTGTTCCATCTTTAAGCCCCCGAAGGCCTAATAGATATAATGTCTTAAAAATGCTTCTGTGAAGAGCAGACAAGAGAATTTAACGCTAAAATTTAAAACCTATCAAACATTTTTTAAGACATATATGAAACTAGTTTTGATGGGCTAAGTAAAAAAATAATTCTTTTGACTTAAGAATGTAATACATTAATTTTTTTTTTTCCTAAATAGAAATCTTTGTACAGTGAAGTCTTTGGACCCTCCCAGCTGTGTTTCTGATTCTGTGTAGGGTCATAAGATGCAAAGTACATGAGCTGCTCTTAGACTTTTCCTAGCTTGTGATTTTACATTTTGTGGACAGTGTTGGCAAAAAAGGTTGAAAAGTCCAGGTTTTTATACTAGGGACAGTTTTGGAGAATGTTGGGTTTTTCCAGGGCATTACAATAAGCTGTAAAACCTTTTCAGTTTCATCTGGTGGTTGGGCCTACGCATGTAACAAAACTCGGTCATGAATAACATACATGGGAAAGGACAGTCTGGCCTAAGTGATTTCTGTTTTGTTTCCAGAAGATTGTTGTTGATAATTTGTTACAGTATTCTACAAGCATTGAAGAAAGAGTAGAAAGCTGCAGTACTGTTGGTCATGCAGTCTTTATAGTTTTTGTCCTCAAATAATAAAACTTGCACAAAATGTTGACTGCAAAGCTAAATTGTATGTAAGGCAAGCTGTAATCAAGCTCTTATGGGAACAAGTTGTATAGTTTATAAGCCTTGAGGAATAGCAGTAAGACCTAATATTGTAGAAATTTCAGGTTTTAAATATGAAAATCTCTGCCTTTGGAAGTGATAAAAGGAAAATAAGGTGCATCAGATTTTGCTTATTGTTTATGAAGGTTAGGACAGCTTCACTGCTATGTTTTCTTTTGCTTATATTACATTAGCACCAGAAAAGTTTGTTTAGTTCAGTTAAGGAGCATGTTAAATTCATTGCTTGTCCCAAACTTCTGTGTCAGGAAGAGTACCTTGTATCCTTTTGTGGCAGCAGTGGAGGTGAGATAGTTGCTTCAGGAAGAGACTTTCCCTGTCTGAATGTTTCAACAGGAGTGACATCTCAATGGGTGGCTATTCTTGAGACAGCCAGGTTAAGAAACAAGTGGAACTGCTACTTTGAAGGAATGTTGGAAAGAGAAGAAAGATCCTTGGAGAACAGGAGTGTGTTCAGGGGGTCTTTGTGGACACTGGGCTGGATGGGGTCTGCAGGCAGATCAGTTCACATTAACTAAGACCAGTGCAAATTAAAATGCAACAATTTTACAGGAATGAAAACTAGAACCTGAATTTGAGACTCAAGTAGGTCAGAAGGAACAGATAATGAAGATGTGCACTTTATTCCACCCACACCATCTTTGCAGGGATGTCTTGTGTTGCAAGTAAGGTGACTTGACTGCCCAGCTCTCAAATGTGTCCTCCAAAGCCTGCCTGGATGCTTTTTGATTTTTGTTGCAGTTTTAGAGGGCCTTCTAGCACTATTGCACAGCTCTGTGGTCTTCCTTTCTTCCCTAAATGGCCTCACTAGCTCCCTATGGAAAGAAGCATCTTGCCCTATGCTTCCCACCTCCATCACATGTTTCTTAATACAAATGTGAGTAGAAGCATATTAGAAAGAGGCAGGGGGCTGGAGGACCCCTACTAGAAGTGGAAGGGGCACCTGTAGGTTTAGATGAGTCTGACAGAGAATCTTCAAGGCTAAACTTCTACACATGCCTTGGCAACTGCACTGGAAGGGTGAGCTGTGCTTCTCTGGAGCTGCTGGTGAGCAGCCTTCCAAGGGGTGCAAGTGAGGCTTCCGAGGAGAACTGAAAACAGCTCTCTTGCATTGCACATCTCAGTGTTGTGAAAGATGTCCTGGTAGATTAGTGGCAGGCATTGACTTTGGAATGCAGGTGAGTAGAAAGAGATGCAGGAGGTGGTAAGCAAGGAAAGCTTGTGAAGTGATTGTATTTAGCTACCAGCCATATTATGGCAATGATGCTACAGCACTCTTGTACCTTTCTTCAGTATCACTGTTGATCTAAAGGCCTGCATTTCTTTGCCTGTTACTGTTTGGTTTGTTTTTTGGGTTTTTTTTTTTAGCATAATGGCTTGTTTCCACAGCAGCTGCCATTGAGTTGCACATGCAAATAATTTCATTCATTCTGGTCTAATTGCAATGTACTTGATCTTCAGGTAGCGATGATCACTGGAGTTGTGTTGCAAGGTGTAAGAACGTCCTGTTCTAAAATCCATGTCCCAGTTGATGAGCAGTGTTTTGGAGATACATTATGATTTAATGTCAAGTCAGGTCTGCTGAAAAGCATCCTTGGCCTACCAGGAAGTGCCAAATTGTGCAGGAATTGTATTGCTGTTTATCTTGTGCACAAGCACAGCAGAAGTCCTAGGATGATAGGTGATGGAATTGGAAGTGAACGCTTTGGCTGGATCAAAGGGACCAGGTTTTTCACCAAATTAAATTCTTATGTAGGAATGGTTTAAAAAAGCTTCAGCAAAGAAAGGGAAGTCATTAGTTGTGACTTCATTGAAGCAGATTTGTCTTCACACCGTGGGCTGTGCTTAGTGCTGCAAGGCTCTGCACTGTACTAACAGCTCTCCTCACCAGGCTGTGCTGACTGCTTCACTGTTTTCCTTCTCCTGTCTCTATCACACTCTGCTTTCAGTAATGACAATGATTACATCATTGCTGTGTCTCTTCTAAGCTTCTAGAATAGTCTGAAAAAACTGCTGTCTGTCCCTTTTTAAATATTAACTTCATGATGCCCTTGAAGTTACTTTGTCTGCAGATGCTTTGATGTGTATGTGAAGTGTCAAGAGACAGGAGAGGCTGTTACTTGCACACCTGTAAATGCAGTGTGTCTCCAGAGGAGTCTGTTTTCCCTCTGACCCCAAGCAGTGATATTGTATATAGCAACACTGCCTGCTAATATCTGTTCAAACAGCTTGTCCCCATCACAGCATTCATCCAAGGCAAAGAGCCATTGTGGATCTGTGTTTCATAACCTAAAACTTTTAGCTATTTGCAGCAGTAACAACAGCATCCAGACTGATTTGAGGGCAGCACATGTGCTAAAGCAACTTTCTTAGGGAATAACCAGATTAAGGCAGAAGCTCTCTTTGAGGCTCAATTTCAAATGTCATTTGCTGATTTTGTAATGGAAACTATAGGTACACTATACACTGTTAATTTAGACACTGTTAGGTTGGCTTTGCTGTTTGAATTGCTCCTTTTTTTCAGGGATTGAATTTATGAGGTGGGTTGAAACCTCCAGTTTCAGCTATTTCAGCCCACTTATTCAAGATAATTCTCACATTGTGGGGACTTGACAGAGCAATGAGCTTTGGCTGGGAGGAGGAAAGTTGGCCAACTCCATCTGCTTCAGGCGTGGGCAGGGACTGCCCAGCAGGGTCAGGAGCATTCAGCTGTGCAGCTTTGGGAAGCTGTTGGCCAGCTCAGCTCACTTAAGTGGCCTGTTCATCTGACTTTGTTTCCCTGCTCATCACTGCAGTGACAGATGAGGTTTCTGAGGACTGTTAGTAGCTGGGAAAACCACCCCAACTAGAGGATAACACAGACTTTACTCAGTGTATCAGTACTGTCCAGCAATGGTGTCTGGAGTGTGTCTCGAAGGCCACATGAGACTTCCAGAGCCAGGTTTGTGTGCTCTGCTTGGGACATTATTCCTGCAGGAGCTGTGACACTGTTTGCTTTTGCAGTTGCATAACACAAACACTGGGTAAGATTCCTTGGCTCACAGCGTGTTGGCATTTCATGAATCCAAGGAAGAGCAGCAATTCTCATCACTTTCAGGGACTGAATGTACTTTGTGGCTGGGGACTGCATAGGCTGGTAGCTACAGCAAATGTGAAAGCAACATAGTGGACTTATCTAATTGTCATCATTTGGGTTTAATATAATCTTAAGTTCTGTGTGGTTTAGCTCCCAAAGGTTTTTCCTTTTTTCAATCTAGATCACTTACTTCATGGTATTGCCATTTAGGAAATTGATCTTGCTAAACTGTTTGGAAAACAAGGAGAAGACCCTATAATAAGTTCAAACTTAGCTTTGATGCCAATTGAATTTAAGTGTTTTGTGTTACCACAAACTACAGTTGTCTGAATCTTGTAGAAGTGCATGTAAATCCCCCTTTTTATTCCTCTTATTCCTTCTTTTACTTAAGAGAACAAAGAATACACTGCTGCATCTAGAGTGAGAATCATCTGACATCTGAATTCTTAAATTCAGTTTCTGAGTTTTGCTACCTGCAATAGACTAGTTATAAGAACAGTATCTCATTAGCCTTTTATTGCTCCTTAAAAACCTGTAACTGGAGTCTTTTCTTCGTGCCTTGACTGATGATGGCACAGATTAGTGACTTTCTGATCTCTTCCTTGTGTGTAATTCTGACCTGTTTATGTATTTCTTGTTCTAGCTTTTACAAAACTGATCACAGTAAATGGCCAAGAATATCATCTTCAGCTGGTTGACACTGCTGGCCAGGTAAGTTATCTTACTTTGAATCTTTCTTCTAAGTTATGATAACAGGTATTGATACTCCTGTTGAGCTAAGTTCATAGTGACTGTGCATTCAGAGGTGAAAGTTAACTTAAAAATTATCCTGACTTGTTTAGTCACTAAAGAACTTTTTCTGTAGTATTTATTTAAAGGTTTTGGAATTTGTTTTGTTACTGGGTTGGGGTTTTTCTTTCCCTATCTCTTGAACGAGTACCTAAAAAAGGAAAGAGGAAACTATCTTAACTCTGATGTCCCAAAAGTTCATCAGTAGCTTGTGTAATTGTGAATGAGCAGTCCTGCTTCAGATGAAAAATGGTGCTTCAGTAAACCATGGGGAAATTTTTCATGGCTTTTTCGTATTTGTCTGCTCCAGCTACCCCACCATGACTTGTATCCATGGAGCAGTCATGGAGAGCAGACAGATTCATGTAGGTGGCACTTACTGAGTTAGCAATAAACTGCTGCAGTTTGTCTGCATTTTAACGTGATGGTTCATGTGTGCATCTGAGCTCCACGTAATGACAGGGAGCACATGTCCTGCAGCGTGCTGGGGAGCTCTGGGAGGTGCAGGTGTTCATTATTTACAGGTACAGGGGTTCATCACACACTGCTGCTTGGCTGAACCCATGCACGAGAATGCTGTGTCTTTTGAGACTCTATATGAGGGGAAAAACTCATCAATCAGGGACCACTAATTAGACCCCTGTATTTTTATCCTAAAGTGGTGGTTTTTTGGTTTTTTGTGTTTTTTTTTTTTTTTGCTTATGTCCTCTTGCCTTAGGATCTCATACTATGCCATACTATGCCTTTGAGTTTTTCCAAACTATGAGTAGTGTTAAACAATGTTAATCTTGTAAAATATGCTGCCAGTACTTAAGGCTTTAAAGCTGGATACCTGCTCATAGCTGGGAGACTGTTCAGAGGGGTTGTAATTTTCTAGGTATGTTTGATTGTTTTCTTGGAAGAGAGCTGTGTGACTGGGGAATAGCCATGCTGTATTTGTGGTGTCAGCCCTCGGTGCTCATCAGCAGATCAGTGTAATCACACAGAGGTGTCTGAGCACAACACTGGCCACAGGATTGCTGGATGGGGAAAGCTCTGCAGAGGAGAGAGTGAGAGAGGGGCAGGCTGAGGAGTGTGAGCAGCAGAACGAGCTCCATAGGTGTCAGTCAGTGCCTCTGTAAGTGCACTTGCATTACAGCTCTGATTGTGTAGCACAGTGATAAAAGAAAAATTCCCCTTTGAGGAGGAAACTGCCTTCTGGGAAGGCAGTGTGACTCACCATTAACATACCTCTATTTCTGAGGATTGATTTAATGTTATACAGTATTGTGGAACCTAAATAGCTTCTTTCCCAGCCTGTGGTTCTTTTCAGATTTAATTCTTCATGGAACTATTTGAACTTTGATTTTTGGTGCACAGGGTTAGAAGGGGGAGATGATGTTGGGTTATGAAAGGTGTGGCTTGGACAGATTTCCTTCCCAAGTCTGTCTTGCTTAAAGGCCCATAGGGAGTCCTCATGTGTATACAGCACAACAAGAATTGTATTGCAGATTTGTTAAATACTTTTGAAAACCTGGCTATGGCTTGAAAAGTTGTAGCAATATTGACAGGTTTCTTATTTTGACCCATAAGGTGCAGTGAGCATAGCAGCTTTCCTTCCATCTCCTAATGAGCTAAAAATAAAGTCATTAATTAGGAACAGTTGAGATAATAGCACTTATTTTTCTTGGTGTTCATCCTCTGTCCTGTGCCTCTTAACTTTCCTGGTTGTTTACTGAGCTTTGTGCAGTTCAATCCAGCAGGGGTCTTGATACAGGGTCACAAAAGAGGGGTGTAAAAGGAAATCTTACCTAACACCAAATTCCTGCTGGGGTAGTCCTGGGAAATTCCATGTAAAGTCAAGCCACTACAGAGTTGCACTTTCACCTTTTTTACACAGACTTAGCTCAGATCCCTTTTGAGTATTGACTTTGGGATTTCACATCCAACTGGAGTGGCACTTTGGCATTTCAGTGCAGATGGGGGAGGGCTGCCCTCAGTGTGTAGCAATAAAGGCAAATAAGGGCAGCTTTTGCCAAGTGTTATTCTTTCAAACTTTTTTTGCCTGGATCTGTGAAGTTGATTTATAAAGAGTTTTTCCTCTTCTGCCAATGAGGGAAGTTTGATTCCTTTTGGGTGTCGTAGATTTAAGATATGTGATTGCACTGCTCCATCTGTTCAGCCATGACAATAACAGAGAGGTTATTTGGTCTTCAGCTAAAATTAGCATCTTCAAAAGCATAGGTTTAACAATTTGAGAACTCATACATTAGGAACTATGGCTCTTGTCAAAATGGAAATGTTTCCTGGGAAAATCTGTTGGAATAGGTTTTTAACATTGGATTAATAGTATTTGTGTTGCATTACCTGCAATATATCAGTCTGTTTTGTTTGCCTATTTGGTTAGTCCCTTTTCTAGAGGGGCAATAAATTCACTGAGAAGGTTTCTGGTGGTTTTGTCTGGTTTTCTGTTTATGTAAACACTTGTCCTGTAATGTAAACTTACAGTTGTCATAAAGCAACTAATAACTTTATTTTTTGCATTTGATAAGCATAAGTTAGCCACAATTATTCACTTCCTACCAAATTCCCTAGGTAATTTAGATGTGATCAGTGTCATTTGAAATTACAAGCTGTTAGATCCTATTGCCAGCTGTTGAAATGAAGATTTTGAAATGTATCACCAGCAAGATAAGAGGCATAATTGCTAATTAGTGGTGGGACAGAGTGGATGTTTTGTACTAATACAAACAGATAATTAAGCAGGATAAGAGGATTGGGAAGAGCTTCAGCTCATCCATAGTCTTAGAGGGAATAAACCATAAAAGCTGTAGATTAAATTGTAGAGTATACAGATGGACTTTTAGCCTTCACTAGGTTTGGTAAAGATGCTGCTTGTGATGTTATGATGAAAAAATTCTGAAAGTACTACCTACACAAAATGTCTTAGAGATATGACCACCTTACCTGATGGTGATCTAATGGCATCAAGTCTGAGCTGTGGCACCTTTAATTATAAATGCAAAATTCCTTCCACAGGATGAATACTCCATATTTCCTCAGACGTACTCCATAGACATCAATGGCTACATTCTTGTTTATTCAGTCACGTCAATAAAAAGGTAATAAAATTTGTTTGTGTTCTTCTCTCTAAATAGTTTCTGGGTTTAGTTCCTGCCTCTGCTGTATTTTGTGTGATTATTTCAGTTAATCTTTCTCCTTTAGAAGTATAGTAGGAATGAATATTAAGAAAGTTTTTTTCAGAAATGTCCCCTCAGACCCAAATGTCACAGACACTTTGCAGACTAATGTGCCATGTAAGAAATTAGACTGTTAAACTATATTGTTTTGAGGTGTAAGAAGTAGTACAAAGGATCATTTCAGAAATGAGTTCATTGCTCTTGTATCAGATAGAAAGGCAGCCATAAATATGAAGCTGAAGGACACTGTACATTTATGTGAAGTACCCAGTTAGTAACTAAATCATTCCTTCAGCCTTGCAGCATTTTACAGTACTGAGATTCCTGTGACTTATTGTATGGAATTGTCCTGATTAACCATAGAAATACTAATATAAACAGCAATAGATGGCTTTTGGACTATAAACCCTCTCTTGGCATGTTGCAGCAAATAATCCTCCCTGGAGGTTGCCCTAGAGTGTCCCTCTTGTCCTTGCTGTTCCCTCTCCAGAGTCCATCGTACCTGGAGTCATGTGAGACACAAAGCTTTGTGTGGCTTTGTCATCTTCTGTTATTTCCTCACTTCCTCTGGTCATCTTGCTTTGTTTAAATACTGCTTATCCTTGAGAAGGTGTTGATTTTCTAATACTGTACATCTTTATTAGGTCAGCTGAAATTTTTTGAAATTTTTGTTTGAAGAAAGTGATTAAGACCTTAGACCTTTCAGTCTCATCAAGTACAAGAGAAGTTGATGCTTACCTTCCACTTCAAGGCAGTTGATGAGCTTTTCACAAGTGCTGAAGTGTTTCATATATTTTCCTCTGAATCAGACAAAACTAGTCATTTCAAGCTCTTTGATAGACTGTCATAAAATACAGATAAAGCAACTTACCTGTTGGCTCTTTTTCCTTCTCAAAGGAAGGATATAGTCAGGTTATAAACTTCTGCTGCTTGCAAGGTCTTTAATGTTGAGCAGATTTCATAGTTCTTCGTTCTTGGTTTTCATCTTCAGTTGTGAAATAAAGAAGGGCAAGCACATGTTAGGCTTTATGTGTGTCTAGAGATACTGAACTACCCAACTCTCTCTGGGTCTGTGTTTTTTAGTGAGAGGTTCAGTGTTGGTGCTGCGTAACTTGTATGAAATAGGAGTCAGTATTTTCTGCCTAAGTAGACAATGCTCCACTCCTGAAGCAAATACATAAAAAGTTCACTGATAAATGGGTGCTGTGAGGACAGAAGTGCCTTTGACTGAAACCAGTGTACATCATTCAGGGGATTCTGCAACCTGTGCTGTTCCCTGTTTGGCAGCTGAAGGATGTGTTCTTTCTCAGCCACTCCAGTTGTTGCCTGAAGATGTCTTGAGCTCACCAGGTGAAGAAATGTGAAGAACATGTTTTCTGTGGTAGCATTCAATCAGTTAAACCAAGTTATGGTAAAAATACAAACAAGACAGACTAGGCTGAGGCTGTAGGTAGATGTCTGTTCATCAGTATTTAATCTTGATGAGTTTATTCCAAGTTTTTATTGTTGTTGTTGTTTCTTCTTTAAAATTTCAGTGTCCATGATCCTGTCTTGTTCAATTCCTTATGTTCTTTATCAAGCCAATGGATGATAGGAGAGGTCTTCCACAGTACTCTGGTAGCTTCGATGACTTGCCCAGACAATGAGATCAGTCATCATCTGTCCTGACTTCTGTCAAACTGTGTATATTGATCCAAATATTGATCCAGCTGGGTGAGAGCTTTGACAGCAGACTTAATAGAAATGTTCTTTTTAAAGTTATCAGCTTCCCTGCTAACCTCCAGTGGGAAGTTTAAATAGGACTTGAATGAAAGCTAATGCCCTACATTTTTCATATGCCCAAGCTCTCAGCAGCAAGGTTACTGGGAGGCTTTTGCTCTAGTTCAGCTTAATTAAATTCCAATTTTGTATCTTGCTAAGTTCCATGATTTTGTGTAACACATTTATCTGACAGCTAGTAATGGTCTTTTTTTTTTTTTTATTTCACACATTGAGCTGTTTGCTGTAACCCATTTGCTTGACAGAACTTGGAAGGGACCTCTTACAGTCTCCAAATCTCACAGTTTCACAGCTTGATGTGATGGTGCTATTTTTGGATTGGTCAGTCCTTGCTCCTTTTTGTCCTTGCTCATTTCAACATTATTAATTTGGAAAGCTTTCTAGAACATAATTGGTCAAGCCAGTTTCATTCCTGGCAGTTCTTAGCAACTTGTTCCTGTGTCAGAATTGTGTTGGAGTTTAAATAGCACTTCTCCAGTGGTTTCCACCTTGGTCCATTCACAAGGATCAGATTTTTATTTGTAGTATTTTCACTAAGAAAGGAAGGTTGTGAACAATCTCAGACAAGCAGATGGGTACCCAAAATGGGGCAATGGAGAGCCCAGGTTCAAGAGGACCTGGCAGCATTGTACAGGGGAGCCTCAGGCAAAGACTTGCCAGGGTGCTGTGCTGATTTTCTGGCTTAGCTGGAAACAACACACCTAACAGGGGAAAGGAAACAGTGATTGTACTGTTCTAGGGATTCAGTTAGCCTGCGGGTAGGGTGCTGAGATCTTTCCTGTTGCTTCAGATTGAGAAACAGTTTTGTGGTCAGTAGAAGATCGGTTTTTTTGGTAGCATTTTTATTCTTTCAGTTTGCAGAGTCACATAGTCCTGTGTGTAGTGATGCCTCTTGATTCTGTAACAACCAAGCTCCATTTAACTCTTATTTTCTTAACAGTTATGAACATTCAAGATGAGCTCTCAAGACTAGAATTTCACTCTTTCAGCATAAGCTCCTTATGTCCCTAAAGTCCTTTCATTGATTTCCCATTTTTCGTTGGTTCCACGTTTTCCACAGTGTAATCTGTAGTATCCTTCTTGAGTTACCAGTAGCAATTAGTGCCAGACTAACTCATGCTTCTGTTTACAAAGAACTAATTTTCTTCATAGGAGATACTGAAACTATTAGCTGAGCATGGAGAAGCATTGTGTTCCACACAGTCTCAAATATTATTGCTGGAGTTGGACAAATTGACTTGCTTGACAGAAAAACCCATCTTAAATGTGGTAGGATTTATTGTTCTAAGGGAGAGGTTTTATTGCTTTGAATGGTGTTTTTAGGCACCAGGTCTTTGGTTGCTCTGAGCTGGAAGTGTGTTTGAGTGCTGCTCTATTTTTAAGAGTTTCAATTCTAATTGAAATGCAGTGCAAGTCAAGACACTGCCTGCAGCTAGCAACCTTGGAAACTGAAAAAGTTTTGGTCCCTTTTCTGTCAGCTGTGTGTCTCATCCCTGAGCCTAGGACTCTGTTAAATCCAAGTTGTGCACTTCATGTACCAGCATTTTTTCCATAGTGTAACCAGAGGAGTGCAACATCTGCTCTTCAACCCCCTTTATAGCTTGTTCTCAAAAGTACTGAATATCAAATGCAGGGGATTTTGTTAGTGAGGTTTTTGACTTGATATTCTACAGTACTGCTTCTTACCTCCTGTCATCCAAACTTCACCTACGTGGTAGGGGAGCAAAGAGTATTTGAATAATCACTGTTTTACTGCCATCTTGCAGCTCGGTTTACTCACTTTCCACAGAAAATTAGAATTTTGGCTCTTCTTGGCTTTTACATAAATAAAACTTAATAGTTATATATGAACTAAATGTTTGTTAAAAACAATGATGGAGCTTGCCTAACTAATTACTTTTTCTTCCAATTTGCTTTAATTTTACATACTCATCCAGGATTGTTGGACTGCACAGTTAAATGTCTCACTGCATATACAAACCAGATGAGAGGTGGGAGGGACTTGGGGTGATTCTGTGTTAGATGCATCAGTCCTGGGTAATGTTATTTATTTCTGCAAATACCATAACTGGGGAGGCTGTAAGGGTAGGCTCAGGCTGGTCTCTGCTGCTGCTGGGACCAGTTTGGTGGTGTTACACAAACGGGTAAGACTTTCAGCATCTGTGTAGTTGTGCATACATAGAGTAAGTTTTAAACACAACCTACATATGCATTTAATTGCTTGTGTATTGGGTATTGAGGATAAACATCAGAGTGCATGTGTGACTTCATCCCTTTATTTTGCAGTTTTGAAGTGATAAAAGTTATCCATGGCAAGTTATTGGATATGGTGGGAAAAGTCCAGTAAGTAGTGACACTTTCATCTCATTTCATTGCAGGCATGTTGCTAGTGCTTTGTTCAGTATACTGTAACTGTTCTGAAGTTCTGAACTTTCTTTCACAGAATACCCATTATGCTGGTTGGGAATAAAAAAGACCTGCATATGGAACGGTATGTGAACTCCAGAATGTGAGAAATGCAAGGCAGCAGCCTGCATTCCTGTGGCTGCAACGCGCTGGGTTTGTTCTTCTTGGCTTTCCAGAGTCAAATTGGAAGTTAAAATAAGTTACTGGCAAAGGACTTGTGTCCAGAATGTGAACTACGAACTGTGAACTTCTGTTGTAATGTTGATTTTTGCTGTGAGGTTCCAGGGACAGTCATTTAACACTCTGGGTTTTTTTCAAAGTAAGTAACAGAAGTGTATTTGTCACAGCAGCAATGCCAGATGATATTACAGATTATGAAAACAAAGCAATACTTTGGGACAACTGCTCTTCTGGGTCACAGAGCAGTTTTACCTGGCCCAGAAGTGCATTTGACAGCAGCCAAAAGCAAATACTTTGGATCAGACTTCACAAGACGTTCCTATTACAATGCACTTAAGTGCTTTGGTACTCCTGAGATATTTCTTGACATATCAGATTCCAATTCTTCTGCAAGTTATAAGAAACATATTTTTCTTTCTCTGATCAGGGTGATCAGCTATGAAGAAGGGAAAGCTTTAGCAGAATCCTGGAATGCAGCTTTCTTGGAATCTTCTGCTAAAGAAAATCAGGTAATGGATTTAAGAGTCACTTTATTCAAATAGCAGTGTAATGGATGACTCAGAGCTTCACTCAATAAAGGAAGCTAAAATATTTGCATGCACTGTACAGGTATTTTGTGTAGATGGAAGCAGAATGGCTGTCTGCACTCAGGTTTATGTACACAAGTTTTTTCCCTGCAACTGTCAATGGGAGAAGGAAGTGAAGAACTGGAAGTTGAGCTTCACTGAACATATCAGAACACTTAGTGACAAATTAAAACTCACATCCACAGGGTGCGTAGAACAGGGTCTGTTACCTTAAACAGGAGTCACTGCTGCCAGAGCAGTGAGTTGGTGTAGGAGGATGAACCTCGTGTTTTAAGATGCAGGGCAGGCTCAGTCTCTCTAATGATCATTTTGTCTGATGTTTATGGTCAACAATTCTGCAAGTTACTTGAGTAAAGTTGGATTTTTTTACCCTGAAAGAAAAACTTGGATTATATTCTGTCATCAGATATGGAAAACTTGGAGTTAGTTTATCAGTATTTCTGTTTCTGGGTAAGACCTGCATTAACCTTGTCAAAACTGGTATGATGGAACCATGAAATTTCTCAATATCTTCTCTGTATGCTAGAGGGCTTCAAATGCATACCAAAGGAAATTAAATTGACAGTGTAAAGAATAAACCTGTTAAAAATGTCTGATCTTTTTTCCCAGCCCTTTATTTTAAATAAATTCTGGATTAGGCAAAGCTGTTGCCTGTGCTCTTTTTCATTTGGCATATGTTCACAATGTGCAGCACCACAGCAATTCATATCTAGCAGAAGAATATCTTACTGATAACTTTTCTGGAGTTTGTATTGCTCTTGAACCAAGAAGAAAAAAGTAATGTTTATTTATGTAAAGGAGCTACAAGCTTTGTAGGATATTTTGTATGTCCTGTGTGTTAACTTGCTGCACTGACAAAATCCCCTGTACTGCCATGTATTTGTGCTCCTGTATTAAGTTGCCAGCTGGAGTTCATATATCAAACATGGTACCCTTCAGGGAAATCAAAATTGCAATTGAATGTCAGATATTCAAAATCCTGTACAAATCCCACCAGAAGAATTCAGAAGTCCTGTGCATTCTGGCTGTCAGAGGTCTTTCTTTCTGCAGGAGCCTTCAGAATAGTGATCCCAGGTTGCTGTAAATTCCATCCCTCTGGATTTACCAGCAGGTTGTTAGAGGCAGGTGCCTGAACACAATTCCTGCTATATAATAGTACACTTGGAAAATTTGTCCATCTTCAGAAGTTTGGCAGGTCAGATGTCACTTCTGAGATGGGTGCCTGCAGCATGTGACCATCCTTCAGGCTCTCTGGCGTTGTTTCCTTTGGAGGCTTGGGATGTGTGGAATAAAGTGTGAAGGAGCCCAACACTGACACAGCAGCCTCAGTCTTCTCACACATCTCCAGCTCTGAAGAGGTGGAAGATGGAGTTTTGAGAGCCAAGTGTGGAGTCTGGGGCTGTGGGGTGCTGGGGGAAGAGGAGACACCAGGCATTGTAATATCCCTCCTTGTGAGTTGGACCAGGAGCACTTCTGAACTCGTTTGGGTTTTCTCCTCCAAATCCTAATCTGACAGGATCAAAAGAGCTGATACATAGATTCTGTCAGGACAGGGCATCTTTTCCTCTGAAACTGTGTCTGGTCTGGGGGCAGGGGAAAGGTTTTGTTTTCAGTGTGGTAACAAGCTGTGTTGTCATTTTCCTGGTACTGAGTGTTCACTTTACGTAAGCCAGAGTTACTGGAAAAAGTCTGTTGGCACTTTCTGCATTGAGGCTCATCCAAATAATCACCTGTACTGGCTTGGTACTGTAAATGTAACTTGACTATCCAGATTAATTCCAAACTCCTTCCAAAAGTGCTTCAGCTTCTGTTTGCTTAACAGAAAGCTGATTTATGCTTAAGGCATCAGCTAAACTGGATGAGGGATTTGGAACTTGATCAGAGAGTTCAAAGCTTCTTGACTGGGCGTATATCTGTTAATTCTCTCTGAAACCAAGCCCATCTGTGTTTGGAGGACTTGGAGCAGAAATGTGACCATTGCTGGTGTGGTGGTCTGAGATTGGTTGTGTACTGATGTTCTTCACAGTGGTGAGGAGAGAGGGTGTCCCTGATAGCAAAGGCTTTTCCCCCCTTTTCTACCTTCCTGCTTTGCCTCTCCCAGCCCCCCAAAAAGTCTTTTTTGGAGCATCTGTGAGAGTCCAAGGAGCATAACCCAGTTATACTGGGCAATTAAAGTAGTTCTATAGATTAACTTAAACAAACTATGCCTATTCTGCCAAGAGTTATCAAAAGATAACATGTCCCAGAAGTAGATGGAAAGTGAGAGAGGCAAAGATTAAAGCTGCAGTGGTGATAAATGATAGTGGCTGGCAGGAGTTCTCAAGGTCAGATAGACTTGAGTATGTGCCAGCAGCTCCAGAGCGTGGTGACCTGGTAGGACTTTGGGAGGAGCCTGCATGTCACCAGCACATCAGTCATCAGGGGAAATCCCTGAGCTTTGGGAAGGCAATCCTGACGCTTAATGGAAAAAACCTCCCTCAGATGACTGCTGGGCTGTTGCTGTCATGTCTTCTCAAGCTGCTTAGTTATTACCAGACATGCACTGCTTTGGCTAACTTCAGGAACTTCGAGTCCTTTCTTGTGGAATTCCCTACACAGTGTCACCTAGGCTGTGGTGGAGTGCTTCATCTTAATCCCAGTGCAGTAACATCACTCTTGGAAATACTGCCAGAATCCAAAGTGGTCCTAAACCCAGGTGAAGCTGGAAACCAATTTCTACTCCCCAGGTGAAGCTGGAAGAATTTAGGAAGTAACAAGCAACTAAATGGTGTTCATCAGTTATGCAAAATGCGTTAGGTAAATTGCAAAAGGAGCAAGGAAGTAGCAAAAAAAGTTGCTTCTTACCAAAATGGAGCTCTCTTAAAAAGCAGTTGCTTGGTTGTACTTTTTTCCAAGCTTCATCTTGGAGCTCAGAAGATGCTCTGCTGAGTAAGTGCTTCAGAGTAGTTTGGAATCCAGAGATCTGACATGTTTGAGCTGGCAAAGGATGGGGGAAACAGCCCTCTTTTACCTGGCTATTATTCAAATTCCCGTGCCCAGTTCTGTGCTAGGATAAACCAGTAGTGTGAGCAGCTGAGGGGTTTCCTCTTTGAAATAATAAAACAGTTGCCAAAGGGTGACTCCAGCACTGCAGGCTGGATTTGGGTGGTTGCACCTTCCTGCTGCCTCCTGGCAGCACATTCCCAACTCCCTACCCGTGCAGGGAATGTGCCTCCTGAGCTGCCTGTCCTGCTCACACCAGGACACATCTGCAGCAGCAGCCGAGCCTCTGGTGTGCCCTGCTCACTGCTGGGCTCTGTGGGCAGCAGGAGGTGCCCAGGCTGGCTTCTCCTTTGTTTGCTTGAGGAGGAAGGTAGAGGGAAAAGCCAGATGGCTTCCTGTGGGCTAGGTGTGACCCACATTCCATAATTGCACCATATGGAGGCAGATGCATATAAAGTCTGGCTGCATCCTTTATTCCTTGTCACAAAACATCTTCCTGTGCTGTTTAAAGGCTCAATCTAAAACTCTTCAGCATGTTTGAGCTGAATTACAAATTCTAAGGTGTTCACTGTAGGACAGTAAATAAACCTTCCCAGTGAATACATATTTTCTGTGAAATGAATTAACAAACCGTGTGAACTCCTACATCTTTGTGCTTCAAACAGCTCATCTTGGAGAATGTGCAGCTTTTTGGTTGGCAGAGTAAGTTGTGTAGGTTTTTTAATGGGTGCTGTGAAACGTGGGCAAAAAGATTTCATGTATTAAAATGAAACCATTGAAAATTTTGACTCTAAAGAAACAGTGGTGCAGTATATTTGTAAATCAGTGTATCACCAGGTTTTGATTAAGGGAAGCTCTTCATTAGTGGAAGCAGTTTGATAGCAACTGCAGTCCTGGCCATGGTTCTAAAGTCTCAATTTGCCCAGGAAATATGTTGTATCATTACTGAACTAAATGAGTCTCTTCTGTCAGGTTCTGTTGGAATTCCAGAAACTCCATTATATGGAGGAATACCCTATTTTCCAGCTGGTGAAGTACTTTAAATAGTTCCAGAATCGTACTGTGCACAAACAATATAAATGTAGGAAACTTTAACATCAAGTCCAATCCTGTTAAGATTGCTGTGGGGTTTCAGTCAATGAGATTAATTTGGAAGTGATCCAGTTAAGAATTATATCTTGTGGAGGTGGAAAAACATCTGTTAAATCAGAATATGTAGCCATAAATCACAGGGTGCTCTTTAGCCTGCTGATTAAAACCAACAAAACCCCCTTTTTATCCTCTTTCTAGCATGACTGCTTTTATATAATGAATATACTTTCCTGTGCTTGGAATTCCATAAGTGGATGGCCAGAGGTTGGATCAAATGTCGGTCTGATATGGTCAGGAAACCATTTCCAAGCTGAAGATTCTCACACTGAAGCTCTAGTCATGCAGTTCAGTCTATTTAAAATGTAACCCCTGTTCTCTCAGGAGGACTTTATCAAAGGGTATTGCTGAATATTAGTGACAGTTCAGCTTGTGCTGTCTGCTGGTGTCTCATACAAATCTTATTCACAAGGACAGTGAGAAAATCAAGAGTAGTAAAGTCACCCCTCATACTGAGCTGTGCAAAGTCAGTGTTGAGAGCTGAAAAATATGCTGCCTTCTGAAATTATTTATTATCTTAAAGATTACTGAGGGCAAACTGATTGGTTTATTCTCTAAAGCAGCACAGCATCCAAACTTTCTGTGCTGTCAGTCGCTCAGGACAGGCTGGCCATGCAAAGTGAGGTGATTACAGTTATTACTCTGTTGTGAACCTGGCTCAGTCTGTGCCTGCCCTCCCTGACCAGGATTGCTGTGGATGGGGGTTTGCACTTCCCTTTGAAACTCAAATTACTGCGTTTGCCCTCCTCACTCTCGGAATAAGCATTGGATGTGCGTTTATCTGCTGATGTAGTCGGTAAAACTGCTAACGGTTTTTTAGTTATTCTTTCAGCCTTCCCTCCTAAATGTGTGCTCTCTCTTTGCAGACTGCCGTTGATGTTTTTAAGAGGATAATTTTGGAGGCAGAAAAAATCGATGGGGCAGCTTCACAAGGGAAGTCTTCATGCTCAGTAATGTAATTCCACTGCAGAACCTGAAAACACTGGGAATACATTCTACCTGAAGAAGCAAAACTGCCCATTATCTTTAAGGATAAACTATGCTTCGTTTTTGTTTTTTTTTTTTCCTTTTTTTTTCAATTTTATTTTTTTTCTTCTGTTAACCTGAAAGATAAACAGTTGGTTTGGAGCCTTTCCCTTCAGATTATGTTAAACTCTGACTCCTGTGCAAATGGCTTCACTTCCATTTTCAAATTTTAAGCAATCATATTTTCAATTTATATATTGTATTTCTTAATATTATGACCAAGAATTTTACTGGCATTAATTTTTCAGTGTAGTTTGTTGGTTAGAATAATCATCAAAATGATGCATATTGTTACACTACTATTAACTAGGCTTGGATATCAGTGTTTCTTTGTGTTAAATGTATACTTGTAAATAAAATAGCTGCAAACCTTAAATGTTCTGTTTATAATTTTTCGTTGATTACTCCATATCAACTTTTTTTTTTTTTTTTTTGTGAAAAAATGTTCACCTGCTGACCTTAAGAGGAGGCGTGAGATCCTTGGAGCCAATGGATTGTTTGACTATTGCTCGGGAAGTTGTTTGCGAGTGATCCCAAACGTTTTTGCTACTGGAACTCCAGGCTGGCCAAGCAGCTCTGCTTTGTTTTGTGCCCGGTCACGGGAAGGAGAGACGAGTGCCAGCTTTATTTGGAAGGGAAATCCTGGGTTTCAGTCAGAACCTGCTCTGTGTTTTTCCTCTGTAACTGTTGAGTAAAGGGTGAGCAGAGCCGCCCCGAGTTCCTGCGCTACGGACTGTTCACGCAGACTTGTGACTGGCAGTGCTGTCAGGATGGAGTGGATTTATCCAGGTCACAAGCGTAGACTTGTTAAGAGAACAAAAATGTCATTTAAAATAAATTGCACGTCCTGAACAAATCGGTGTGGGCTGTTTGTCGTGAATTCCTGTGCTCCTGGTAGAGGTGAGCAGCCTCCTGCTGCCTGGCTGTGCAGAGTTCAGGGGTCCTGCACAGCTTTCCCTGACCAGCTCCAGGCTTTTCCTTGCCTTTTGGACTGGAGGCGTAGCAAGCCATAATCTCCCAAGCCTGGAAACAGGCTACTTATAGCTATATATTTTAAAAATTTGCAGTTGACCTACTTTGCATTGAAAAGCAGAACAAAACCCAAAACAGTAAAAACAAGCATGGCTGATTTGGGGAACAGTTAATTAAATGAAGTGTTTAGTCTGCATTTTTGTGTTCATTTGAAAATTTCAATTCTGACAGGAGTAGATAGGAAGGGAAAGTTGGAGTGGTTTTGCAATCAGAATTACCTCTTACCTTCCAATCTGTGCTAAAAGATACAAATGAAGCATTTTTCTCCTTTATTTTCTTTGTGCAGTTGTTCCCTCATATGATATAAAAATGGTCTGAACCTCTCAACTGTATGTTGGAAAGCTTGGTATTTTCTTTGGTCATCATGAGAGTGACTGGTAAAAAAAAAAAAAAAGTCCTTTTTCTTCACTTAGGATATTTGCAGTGTTTCTGAAAACCCATTTGCCATGAATTCTCACACCTTGTGCCAAGCACAGGTTGAGTAGCTGGATGATTGTCATGCATGATGGATTGCTGGAGTTCAGCAGAGAACTTGTTCAGGGAAATGAGTCCATGCTTTGATTTTGGAACCAGACTGAGCTGGGGCTGTTCCCTGCCCAAGAACCTGCAGCATTGCAGCCAAGGTTGCTTGGCTGGCACTGGAGTGGCTGAGGATGCAGAGCATGGCCTGAGGAGCACAGCACAGGATGTGTCAGATCCTTCAGTGCCTGATCCTCAGGATTGATGAGCTGTTGCATGACCCGAGGCTGTGGCATCATGGACACAACATCTCGTGTTCTGCGTCACAGGGTGGAAATTCTGGAGTAACACAAACCTCAGTGAGTACATCTGCTCTGTTTTTTTGTCAAACTCTGGCTGCAGCTGTATTGGCATCAGTCTAACCCCCATAACAGCTGCTGCATTGCTTCTTGAGGTGTGCCAGCTGCTAAGAGTTTTAAAGGAGATGTGTGCAGGCATGTGCAGTTCAGCAGTCTGGGATAACTGAGGTCCTGCCTTCCTGTGGTGAGGCTTTCCAGAAGGGCTTAAAGGCAAGTGCAGATTCTCTGGGTGATTTGTGGTGGGAGTTTCTGAGACTTGAAAGGGACATTTCACAAGGCCATGTATTGATAGGACATGGGGCAATGGCTTCAAACTGCAAGACAGTAGGTTTAGAATTAATAGGAAGAAATTCTTCAGGGCAGTGATAGACTGGAACAGGCTGCCCAGAGTTTATGGATGCTCCACAAAGCCAGGTTGGATGGGGCTCTGAGCAACTGGAAAGTGAATCTGCCCTTAGCAGGGGGGTTGGAACTGGATGGACTTTTGGGTCCCTTCCAGCCCAAACAATTCCTGCACTCAGCACTGAGAGGTATGTAGTGCTCTTGCATTTTCCATAATAGCTGAAGAATTGAACTCACCCATGTATCTTATTCCCTTCTTCCTCTTTCTGCTTCATCCAGTAAAAAATGGAAATTATTCCACTCATCCAAGCCTTTCTCTGTTAATAACATCTAAAGACCAGCCATGTGCAATAATCTTGCATCTCTGCTGAAATGTGTAGTCAAGTGTGCTCCTTGAATTCCTCCTCATCCTTGGCTGAACAGATTTCACTTGGCTTCTCAGGATGGCACCTTCAGCAGCTGGAGTCTGACAGAGGCTGGGGCAGCCTTGTGCTTCCTCGTACTGAGCTGGCACAGGTGGGGTTCTTCACCCTGAGAGCCCTGGAGGTGGGGATGGGCAATAGTGGAAGTCCTGTTATGTACAGAAACAAAATACTGCTTTTAGCAAACAGCTGCTTTCCTGGAGTAGATGAATTTATACAGCCTTGTAAAAGTTATCTGATCCAGGCTAGAAAAAGAATTATGTAGACTTAATAGCCTTACTCTTAAGGAATGATCATTTGCAAAGGTGAGAGTGCAAAGATCCTTTTCCTGTTGAGGAAATGAGCAAAATTTTTGCACTGTGAGGTTGAGGACAGTCCACCAGTTCCCCGCCTTGCACATACTCAAAAGCCACTTGGACGTGGCCCCAAGCAACCAGCTCTGGGTGATCCTGCTTGAACAGGGGTTGTTCCAGGTGTCCTCCAGGGTCCTGGCTGACCCCAACCATTCTGTGGTTATGTGAAGATCAACTACTCTAAGCCATGTTCAGTTCTCATTGACCTGTGTGGATTTATAATGCCCTGGTTTGGAAGTGACTCATGCCTTGCTTGTGCCCCTGTCCAGCTCCTTGCTTTGCTGTGTGGATACTCCTGAGACCCAGGGCTGGAGCTGCCCATCTCCCAGCCTGCCATGCCTGGAAATGCTGCAGATGAGTAAGACAGTGGGGCAGGTGAGCTCAGCAGGGGGAGGATGGACTGCAGGTGCTAAATGGAGTCTTCTTTTTCCTGTTTCCCTGCCTGGTTAATTCCATGATGGAGTTTGGGAAGTCACCTCTGGGTCTGTGGGGCCTTCTTTGTAATGCTTCTTCCCAGCTTCTATAAAGAGTTGGTGAGTCCATGCTGGATAAGAAGAAAGCTGGAAAAATGTTTTTGTTGTTCCTGTGTGCCTGCAGTAGTTGTGCTGTTGTATCTGGACGAGGTGCAGATGTCTCAGGTGTGTGCCCAGGCTTGCTGGGCTTAACCTGCTAATTAACACTGCTGAGCCTCTCCAGAAGGAGAAATCAACAGCTTGTAATTAGCCCTTATGTAATCAGGACTGCTCATCTTCAGAGCGTTTTGCTAATACTGGCTGATCTTCACAACTTCATCTAACAAGGTCAAAATTGCTCCCCTTTGACAACTGGGGATGGGGAGTGAAAACCTTTGCACAGATCCCTTCAGCTGTTTTGAGTATGCAGAAATGTGGCTAAACTGGTGTGGGTGATGGGTGTCCTCAGCATCTGACTTCTCCTTGGATATCCTCTTCCCTGCTGGAACTTAAACTTTTTTTGAAATACAGTGAAAACTGAAAGGATTTCTCCCCCCAGGCCTTCTGATGCTTTCCAAAATGAAGTCCAGATCTGTCTCAGTCAGATGCTGAGATGTGTGACAATCCCTGGACAGAATATTACTGAAAACGAGACTAATTGGCTAAACCTGCCCAGCAGGTCCCCTCTCCAAGGTGAGGAGCTGCTTTTCCTAATAGGAACATGGCCAGATCCATCATTTTGTGATAGGATTTGCTGAGTCTGAGGAGGCTTTTTGGAGTCCTTCCCCCACATGGGAGAGACGAGGTGTTGCTGACATGGGATGGGTGGTGGTTCAGGGTGTGAGGTGGCCACCCTTGGTAGAGATTATCCAGAGATTTTTATGTCGTAGTGCATCCATGCTGAAGGCAACACATGGAACCCACAACCACTGCCTGGCAGCTGATTCCCATTTCCAGCAACAGGTGATGTATTCTGCCAGTGAGGGTGTGGGTTGAATGTTTTGCAGAGGTGTTCTGCAGTCAGTGTACTCAGTCCCCCTGGGAGGCAGCACATGGTGCACTCTGGTACAGGGAGTGGGTAAATCACCAGCAGAAATTGGTACTTTTGGCAGCTGTTCTGATGTGGGCCAGGTCTTCAACAAGCAACATGTATTTCACACAGAAACTCTTCTTTGAGCCATGAGACCGTTTCTCACTCAGGTCTGTTGCTGCTCTGAGGAGTCCCACAGGATGTGCTCATCATTCCCAGCAGCAAGCCAAAATTTTTTCCGTGGGAAGGAGCAAGTCCCATGGCTGTTTCATATTTAATCAGCTCAAAGTATCTCATACTGAGGTATGTGAAAAATCTATGAGCTTTTCAAAGCAAGGTGGTGTTTTGAAGGCCCTGAGCTAGGGATTTTCTGTGCCAGGTCTTACACTGCTTTGCACATAGTACAGACTCCTCCAGAAGCTGAAGCGTGGCCCTTTCAGAGGATGTGGAGCAACTCCTTGGTTATTTGTGTGGGGCTGTGCCAGCTGTAGGAGGTACCTGTGAGCAGAATGCTAATCCTGCTAAGCCTCTGACAGGGAATATTCCATTCACATAAGTGAGGTCACTCCCAAAGATTCACCTGCAGCAGTCACAACCTGCTCAGCTCCCCTGGCTCTGGTCTGGACAATTTGGAGAGCAAATTGTCTCTCACCACTTCACTCCTCAGCCTTGTGGCAGCAAAGGCCAGCAGAGGTAGCACAGCCTGGAGCTGCCCTTGTGGACATCCAACCCAATTCCTCCCTGTAAGCCAAACCCCCAGAAGAATCTCAGATTTTTGGGTTTTAGCTGTTGAAGCCAAATACTCAAACTTGCAAGTTAATTTCCAATGTTTCATTCTTTAAGCAGCCACAGTGGACGAAGGCTGCCCACAACCCTTTTGCTGTGGGGCTCATGGTCAGATGGACCTGGGCACGAGCAGGAGGCGAG